CCCTCGCGGCAAGGAACACCCCCCCCTCCAGCCGGCCGGCCCCCCCCTCACCCCCCCCAACCCTTTCCTCGCTGGTGGAAAGCCCGAGGCGAGAAGCTGTGAGGTCGGTGCTGCCTGGGCTCCAGAAAGTCCTAAGCGAAAAGCAATTGCTTGAGAAAGATCCATCGAAGGAAGCCTGAAGACACGAGGAAGCTTCTGAAAACCTGGGAAAACTTGCTCGAGAAATGAAGATCGCACAAAAGCGGTCTCCTCCCCACGCTTTTTCCTTTAATACTTGCTCCTTTGTACTTGTATCAACTATGTTGCATTCCAAAGCTCTTATTAACCTAGTGGTCTAAGCATGTTATAACATCAAGGTTCTCAGATAACAATGCACTGTGTAAGTATCCTGACTTTTGTCACTCAGTTTCTTTTTATATCTCTACCTTTCATCTTCCTCTGGCTCTCTCTTCCCTCAAATGGTTGTGTCATTTTAGTTACTTTCTGTGTATGTTGAGCTCTTGTATTGGCTCTTGCACATCTTTTAGCTTTGTTGCCCTGCACGTTCCAATTTATCTCAGGAAGTGCTTCAAGCCCTGCGCTATTTCTAGCGTGTGCTATACAGAACACTAGTAAATTGCTGTACAGACACCCCACAAATACAGATGTAAACAAAGTGTTTTTATTTACTACGTTCCCCATCAGAAAACAGCTGTATCTAACCTGCAAATGAATGGCTACAGGGCTGCTTTGGTAGGAATTTTGGGTCTATTCCTGAATCCGGTTCCAGTCTAATGCCCCGTTTCTGTTGTTAGATTATCTAGACGGCGGAAAAGCAGTATCAAACCAGTAACCTCCAAGCGATATTCTCAAAGACTCCAAAACAAAGAAACCTTGGAACTAATCAGGGTTGTGGCTGAAGAAATCTCCCCATCTCAGCAGTGGACAAGATCCCAGACTGCAACACCTGCTAAGTGCTCAGAGATCCCTACTGAGAAGAAGCCTTCTGTCCAGCCAATAGAAGGGAAGATTCCTTTAGTAGAAATTGGTGTCAAAGATCGCATCAGTGCAGAGTTACACCTGCAGAAGAGCGCATCTAAATCAGCAGAGAAGGTCTCTACAACCATCCTCTTGAGCCCGAATGATGATTCTCCAAAGGAAAGCAGTGCTGCAGAATTGCAGCCTGTGCCTGCAGCCTCTGTGCTGGTGGTTCCTCATACCCCTGAGGCAAAAGATGCAGGAGAAAGGGGCGCTTCTAAGTTGAAGACAGCAAATGCAGCTGATACTATGGTCGTGGTAAATGAAGAGGCTAAGGCGGAGGAGGTAGATGTCTCCGCTCAGGTGCCAGAGCGTAATGAGGGGTCTGAAAAGGAGCTTCCCCAGTGTATAAGGGATAGCCCAGGGACTCCTACGGGCTCTAGGTTGAGCCGTCGCTCTGTGCGCAGAAGTCTGATGGGTAGACCTTCCATGATTCGCAGGACCTCGTTGGCAGAGAAGTACTCCCTAGCCAGCAAAAGGGAAAGCATGATCCGGAAATCTATCAACAGGACAATGGTCAAGAGGAAGGCAGCTCGAAAGTCGTCTGTGTCCTCCAGTCGCGTGAACTGTAAGTTTGAATGTTTCCAAAAAAGTTTGCTTTGCACCATTCCTACTTACTTTTTTTCTCTGCTGCTTTCTCCTGTCCCCCTGGGTGCAGCAGCTGATCTTCCTAGGTTAGACAAACATTCGGTTAAATGTGAGGGTTCAAGGTGGCTTTGTAGAAACCTATCTGTATAGAGAACCCTTTGACGAGTTAACTGAGCTAACTAATAACTTGTGGCCTACAGATTCAGCCTTGTATATCGTGTGGGAGAATGGTCTTAATGTCTTCTAAGTTTCTGTGGTGGCTGCTTGCAAAGTTAAAGAGGAAGCCAGCGGATGGAGCTCTTAAGCAGCTACTAGCAGCGACCGCCCCTTAAGAGGGATATGGGCTCTGACAAAGGCTTGCATGTTTTCTGGGAAACAAGGTAGCTATATTTTATGAATCTGCTGCTCTTTAAACAGAATCTGGCTGCTAGCTCTAGAGCCTCTGTTTTGAGAAGGAAATTTTGAGACTGAACTCTGTAAATCCATTACAAAAGTTTGGAGGACTTCTAAGTTGCAGTAGAGACGGATTTCTGTGAAGAACATAAACTGACTTAAATGTTCCGATTCAATTGCTTTAAATGATTTAAATGCTCTTGCTACTGAATGCAATCATTGGATTTACTGCAGGAAAACCAAGTGATGGATATCACCTCTCTTGAGCTGAGCAACAGGCAACAAATAAGTGACTATTAAATGGTGAACTAATAAATGGCTCCTGAAATGCAGATGATGGAAGAGAGGTCTTCTGTGCAGTTCAGGGTGTTGGAAGTTCAGGAGAGACTGGCTCTTTTGCATGGCATACTTGGTTTTTAAGGGTAGTACAGCTGAAAGAATGTTACTGCAACGTTTTAATCTACTGTGTGCTCGCTGTGTGGGATTTGCGCTGTATAAAACTGAAGTTTCTTGAAGTGTTGTCCTTATACAGCAAAAACTGGATATATTTGGACAAATGCTTTAATATTTTTCTTTATACCAACTCAGCTGTTCTATCTGAATGGTTCCCTGTGTTGGTAACAGGGTAATGCAGAGTTCTGTGCAAGCTTCTGACCCTGCACTGAGGGCTCCCTAAGTAAAAAGGAGACTGTAGGGACAGTGTTCTCAGCTCTGATTTTGATGAAGAGGCACTAAAGTAGTTTTATCTACCTGGTCCTCAAGTCTTCATCATTGGGATTATCTGAGAGGCTTAAGGAGGACTTTATTTCTTCCCTCTATTAGCAAAACCTGGAAAGACTTTTCTGCCCAGCCTAAAGTCCTGGATGTAAGGAGAATAACTGGGATGTTTCGGGCAGCTCCGGTCAAGCTAGTTAATGTCTGAAAGTCCAAAGCATGTGACCATTGCGTAGGTGTTAAGTAACTTCACAGTATGTCTATTGTCTCTGCTTCAGGTCACTCTGGATGTGTCTACGGCATGCGTGTTTGTATTTCTTTTGATAATGTCTCTGATGGAAGCATGGGAGCCCTGATACAGCACGTTCCATGCTTGCACACGGTGACTGCAATGCCTGTGCTTGTTTACTCCGCTAAGATGGAGGCTGCATCTCCTTCTTAATCATTAATAGTGGTTTCCAGCCTTTGCTGGTGCTTAAAAGCTAGAGACTGTTGAGCCAGCTGGAATACTTAGCAGGAAGCAGCACTCTAACTGTAAATAATGCTGGCTTTTTGACTACTGCTAGCGTCTGGATACGGTCCTGCAAAATGAGTCTGAACCCAGACTTAGTCACTCTTAATGTAAGCGCATGGAATATCAGTTTGAACTCATCTATAATTGAAAACATCTGTTTTCCTATTAAAATTGAAGGCAATGTTTTCTCTAGTGCCACTTAAGTTTTCCTTACTTGTAGCAGCATGCATTTGAATTGCAGGGCAATAACCCAGGAGGCAGAGCAAACGCCTCTACGAAAGTCTTGAATGAGTCCTGGCCTGTACATTACAGCTTTGGCGGTTTTCTTTCTGTTCAGGTCCCAGCTCTGGAGAAGTGCCAGCAGATGAAGAAACAGTTGTCAAAACCGGGTGAGACTACCTTGAGAGATGCTTTTAGCCTAAATATCATGGTTGGAGGCTTTTTTCAGTGTCATTTTTGATTAAAAAATGCACTGTTTGCTGATAACTGTTAAATGCCTTTTCTCTCTTTTTTTTTTTTCCTAGGCCTCATTCTGGACCTTGTACCCCCTCAAAGTTGGTAAGATTTGAGCAGAAGTTAAAAACATTTCTGTTTTGTGACTTGTGACTAAAATGTGTTGAATATATGTTTATTATTGGGGGATTGGAGGGCCTCCAAACACAGCCAAGATCAGTCAACAAGGCGCATGGCTGTATAAAGGAATGAATAAAGAATAAATTGAATAAAAAAGCTAAGAGCAGTTGGCTGCTGAGTTCTAATCTTGAATACATACATGAGCCTGTTTATAGCCTTCCTGCTTCCAGAGACAGCCTAGAGAAAGTTTGATATTGTCAAGTCAATCACAGTGTTCCAAAACCAGTATGTGATCACAATGTTCCAAAATTGGTAAAACAAAAACTAGAAAAGCTTTATCTGGGAGAATGAATGAGCCCGTGTGACTCGAGGCTTATTTTGGATAGAAGTTGAGGTCTCCTGTCAGTATCATATTGCAAGCTAAGATGCTGCAAAGCTAAGGCTACCTGAAATTAGAAAATAGCATTCTTTTTGTCATCTTACATAAACATACATAAACATACATTTTAGGAATATAAACAGTTATAACGCCACCAAATTCCGACCTTGGTATTGCTGGTATTCAGAGCAGGGGCCTGCTTTCTGGCTAGAGATAAACTGTATGAAAATTCAGCCTTGACTCTTTATCCATGCAGGTAAATAACCTTACTGAAATTTAAAAAAAGGTTTTAGTTGCCCAGAGTTTGGACATTATTACCATCTTGGTATTTTAAAAGGTTCTTTTGACCTTTTCATTAGTTCTGCAGAATATATAAAGCTTGTCAGTTTGTGTTAAGGTGACCACAGAAATCTGCAAATATCATTCAAGCCAAAACATCTTCCTCCACAATTCTCACTGGCCTCGAGAGGAAGAAATCCCAGGATTATGTCAGGGTTTTGTCCAGAATCGTATTAATTCAGTCTTTGGTTATTGAAAGCGATGGAGCTCTCTGGCCTTAGCGCTCCTGTAAGGAAGGACAGCCTTATACATACTTTTTTAGCTGTGCTTTTCTACTGTCTGCAAAGGTTCAAATAAATGCAGTTCTTCCAGTGGCCGTGGAGTTTAGCTTGTCTGAGTTACACTCGTGGAAAAGCTTAAAGTGAAAATGTGAAGTGGGAGGGGGAATCTAATTGCTCTGCAGGTATGTGAACAGGACCAATCCTTTGTTTCTGTACCCTGATGCATTTATAAATTCAATCTTTCTAGTCTGCATAGTGTGTTTGGTCTGTCCTTGACCTTCGTATTGTATTTCTGTGCCGCTGCTGTTGGGAGTAAAACCTTGTAACCCACCCTGTTATTAGCCTGGGCCGCTAGGTTACTTTATCCTGTCTATCGATAGTTTTCTTGGCAAACCAGACGTGGTTTGGTTCCTGCCACAGACTTTTGGGAATTGAGTAACTTGAAAATGCAGTGGCTCAGCAGCCTCTTCAAAACAGAAAATGAGTTTGTCCGTAGGAAGGGATAAAGACAACACCTGTATACGTGCTGTTACCTAAAAGTAAAGCTTTTTCTCAGGCCTGTTATCCAAGTTATTCAGATCATATGCTTCTGTTGGCCTACAAGATGCTTTCTGCTACTGTGCTATACTTACTATGAGAGTCTCTATACTTGGGGTGAGACTCTGTCCTTCTCAGCTGCTTCCTTAGTTTCCATGCTTTTTTCCTTCTCTTCCCACCTCTGTTGTGGCTGCTAGCCTAGCTGCTGGTCAAGGTGGGGTGGGTGGGGGGTCTTGATACTTTCAGTGGAATTGATGCTTGTATTGCTAGCAAAGTGCAGGTTTCAAAAGCCGTTGCTGGCTCTTCTGTAGCCATATGAAACCGTTATTACAACTGAGGTAACTTCATACCAGTGTAAGCGCAGAGAAGCCAAATAGCAGTAACATATTACATTAGTAACAGAAATAGATAAATTGAGGAAATGAGCTGTTTGTAGTTGCTGTCTCCCTGCTTGTCCATCTGTTGTTGCTAAGTAAAATGAGTTGTGCCTGATTCTTTGCCAGAAATCCAGCAACCACAAGCCGGTTTCTATCTTGAAAAGCTCTGTCCTTAATGGCTTATGAGTTTGCTTGTTCAGTCTGAGTAGCAAATCCCTCATTGTGGACATTCGTGTTCTGTTAAAATCTGTGCTTCTAGTGATGACATGACAGCAAGGAGTTTACTAAGATGGTGTCCTGAAATGCCTTTCCTGGCCAGAGGTTAGGACTTAACTCTGGGTACTGGTGCAGTTATTTTCTAGTATGTATTCTCTGACAATGTTAGAGTGTCTAAATCAGTATGACATCGTGGTTTGAAACAGTAATTGGCTGTTTTTGTGTGAGGATTGTGCCAAAACCTATTTGCTTTTTCTACAGAATCTCCAAAGTCCAAGAATGTCACTTCGCGCTCGGAACGTTAACAGAAATGAACAGCTGCAGGAGACTCGCAGCAAAGGTAACTTCCAGAGGCCTCTTTCCAGCAGAATTTTAAAAGTAGTCCTGGCTTTGGGAGACTGGAAAGTCTGAGAGATGAGCTACTTCATTTGAGAGCCTGATCCGGTTCAATAGGAAAGACTAATCTGATCTTTGACAAGCAAGGTTTTGTTTAAAGAGGATAAGAACTAGAAATTCTGTGCTGGAGTTGTCTTTTCTGCCCTGGGAAGCACATGGAAGTAGGCTGTGATGTAATGAAGCTGGAGGGATATGTTATCGAGTTTATGGGAGGCCTGGTTGAATGCAGAAACAAGCAGTTCCTCTGAATTTGTACAGAACATCACAGCATTGTATTAATGCAAACTGCATAACACAGATGACTTCAGACAGCTTTGCTTTATGCTTTGTACTCTTAGGTTTGAATGGTGCTGTGTGGTTATTTGCTGAAAGCAAGTAAGGTCCTGCTATGCATAATTCATGGCAGCTTTTTTGCTGTTTAGCCAGGACAGAGCGAGCTGCTAAATCTGTCCGCTTTCAAAGCGGTGCTGGAATGGAATTTTTTTGGCTAGAACTAACTGAGTACCTATGTTTTCTTTCAGAAAGCAACTTAAATAAGAATGGGGAAACCCAGGAACCACCCCAGAGTGCCAGGTATATTCATAGAATCGTTCAGGTCAGGAAGGGGCCTCTGGAGCTCGCTCTCTTGTTCCCTGCTCAAAGCAGGATCAACACTGAAACATTGTTAAATGGCTTCCGTGTTTTGTCACGATGAAATTTTTGCAATAAGTTCTCTCTGCCTGTAATGAAAAGAAGATTTAATTTGTATCTTCTATCATATTAGAAAAAAATTCTTGGATAACTACTTGAGTATACAAGATGAAATTTCTTTTAAGCTAGAATGGTTTTGCATGACCTCTTTTTAACCCTGACTTTGGCATTAAGGAGGGTTTGCCATGTATGATGATCAATGTTGTTTTCACGTAGGAGGAAGCCAAGTTACAAAAGAGCTGTGGATCAACGTTACGACAATCAGCAAGCAGAAGATGGAGGGCTTTCTCCTCTGAGAAGAAAGACCCCATCCCCTCCCTGTCCGGCCAGCAAAGTAAGATGCTTGTATACCTGATGCACTGCACCTAAACCTCTTGATCCTCTGGAGACTAAGCAGGCATGTTTGGCGTTCTTCTCTCAGGTTGTACGTCCTTTCAAAACGTTTTTGCACACTGTGCAGAAGAACCAACTCCTCATGACCCCGAGCTCTGTGGGGAGAAATGGTGTAATGAAATCTTTTATAAGGTACAACACTCCTCTCCAGACTGACCCTAAGGTAAGACGAGACTCTAAGTCCATAGGCTAGTAGATGATGGGCTGGTGGGTCCTCTTGCTCTTCAAGATTAGCACTGCTGCCTCGTTTGTCATTGCATCTCTTCCCAAACATGTATGACCATATCACAGGCTACTTGAGCTCTTTTTCAGGCTTATTACCTCCCTTGGCTGTGGCTGCAGCTGCAGTTCCTTGGTGTTGTCTCTGGGTCTGTAATTGTCTGAGAGATTGGGGTAGAAAGAAGTCCTCGCAGCTGAGTATAATCACTTTTCAATCCACCCCAGGAAAAGGAGAGGCAAAAGCTAGAAACTCTGAGGAAAAAGCAAGAGGCTGAGGAGCTGAGAAAACAGAAATTGGAAGAAGAAAAAAGACGGCGACTAGAAGAGGCAAAGCTGTGAGTATATGCTTTCTGCCTTGTCCAAAGTGCTCCCTCTGGGCTTTTAGGTCCTTGCATCCAGGCCACTTGTCTTGCGGATTCCATACATCTGGCAAAAATTCTTGTTAGCTTGCTCTCACGCTGCTAAGGCAGTATTTGTTCTGTTAGCGTCTACCTGGGATGCTGCTAAGAGGTTTAACTTTTTCACCTGATTGCTGCTTCAGATTTTTGCCTTAGGTCCTCTCAGATGAAGCTTAAAAATGTTGTTAATATTTAAACTAGTGGCCTGCTTAGGTCATTGAATTTCATGCTGCCCAAGAGCTTTGTTTGGCTTGTACTTGAGTTGCAAGGTCTGTGGAAGGAACTCCTCTAGGCTACATTGATAAAGTCATGCTGTGTCCTCCAGGAAACGTGAGGAGCGTCTGCGCAAAGTATTGCAAGCCCGGGAACGGGCAGAGCAAATGGAGGAAGAGAGGAAAAGGCGCATTGAGCAGAAGCTAGCTCTGTTTGATGAGAAGACTGAGAAGGTGAGACCCAATGTACTTGCAGAGTTTATTCTGGAGAGCCAAGAACCCATTGAGGTAAATTATGCCATGCTAGTGTGCATTCCAGAAGAAGAGAAACAGGCTGATGAGATCCAGAGGATGAACTGGAAAATGTTTGAATAAAGATCTTTCCACAAGTCTGGCATTCAGTGAGTTTGAGCTGCTGTATTTGCCTTGGTTACAGCTAATAGCAGATTAAAAGCTTTGTTTTCCAGAATTATTAATCTAAATGGGATGTGTTTAGGCTGCCTTTATTTACCTGAAGTTCTTTTCCCATCTGACTAGTAGGTGAACAGGTGAAAATAAGCATACTTCCTCCAGACTTCCTTGTATCTGCAGTTTTCAGACAACTTGCAATAGGACCGTAGCAACTGGTGGTCTGCCTTCAGTACCTCTATGTGCTTTACTTAGGTTATGCTTCTTGGAATGTATTCGGATGGTTTTTGTTGTAATAGAGGTAAAAATATCAGAACAGAATCTTAAGCCTTCCTGTGGAGATTCAAAGGAAGGTTATTTCCCTAACTATTACTGTTTAAAAATAATGTGCGGGCTTCATTGACTCCTGGTGGCAAAGAGAGGGGGGGAAGTCTTTGCTTCATAAGTGGGTGGGAGCTCTTCATCTTTGTGATTTACTGCCGTGGTACTTCACGTGCACAGAGAACTGTCCCATCTGAGACTCAGGTATTCAACCAGATGTCTGTGTGTCTTAGGTGCGGGAAGAAAGGTTGGCAGAAGAAAAAATCAAAAAGAAAGCAGCTGCCAAGAAAATGGAAGATGCAGAGGCCCGGCGCAAGCATGATGAAGAGGCCAGAAAACAAAAAGCACTGCAGCAGGTCTGTCCTTGGGGCTTGTGTGTTAATGTCCCTGTGGCCTATCATCCCACATGCAATTAGAATGGCTGTGATCCGCTGCAGTTTTTGTAAGCGAAGAGGCTAGCAACAATATTAATACTAAGCAACTGAGTAAGAGTTGTGCTTCTGGAGAGGAAATAGGCTCTGTCCTTAAAGCTCTCTGCAGTGCCGTACTTCCTTTTGCCATATGGCGTGAGCCGCTATCGATGACTGCGAGCCAAACTTCTGCAATCCTGGACAGGTTCTTACTAAAGAACTTAAATTTGTGAATCGGCAAGTATTAGGTTTCTCAGTTAAGGAGAAGCAGGGTTATGTGGGAAGAAGTAACATAGCTTAATCTGTCACCTCTGCTGCACGTGGAGAGAGATCCAGGGCACGGTGGCCATCGGGCAGGCCCTTTGGGGATGTAGTGGACAGGGTAAGGCCAGCATCATGAAAAGATGATGTAGCTACCTCGAAAGCCTATACTCTACCCATCAGTCATGTGTTTCACTGCTGTAGTGATAGGTGCTGAAGATTGGGTCAAAAAAGTTTTGTTCTGGAACCTGTTCCTGTACCATGTGGGGTGCGTAATTTGTCCTGTGCTTACCAGGAGGAGGAGGAACGTCGGCACAGAGAGCTAATGCAGAAGAAGAAGGAAGAAGAGCAGGAACGTGCTAGGAAGATCGCTGAGCAGAGGCAAGCGGAACAGGAGAGAGAGAAGCAGTTGGCTGCAGAGAGAGAGCTTGAAAGGAAGAAGGAACAGGAGAGGATCCAGGCAGAAAAGTAAGATAACATCCATTCATGTACTAAATTTTGTGCCAGGACTTTGAAGAGAAGCACTACTGAAAAGTCCTAGCAGAGAAGAGCTGTTCTGTGCTGTTAGCGCAGCTCTGGGTAATGAGCTGCCAGGGAGAAGTTCTGGGCCTGATAATGTAGCAAGTACAGTGGGGAGTGCCCTGAAAAGCTGCAACAGGGGCTTGCTGCAGGCCCCATGGATGGGGGAATACCACTGTGTAGTTTTGAGTGTGATGGTCTGTTACTTTGGTTCTCAGGCAACGTGAACAGCAGGAGAAGGCTGCTCGCCTACAGAAGGAGGTGCTGGCTGCTAAAGAACAGCTTCAAAAGGAGGTAGAGAAGAAAGAAGTAAGGAAACTCTGTTTCTCAGTAGATACTTACAGCCAGGTGGATCTGACTTCAGTAACCATTACTGTTAACAGCTTCATAGCTCAGCTGCTTCTGAGAACCCTGATGACTTCTGGGCTTAAGTTAACAAAAGGTGCTTTTATCTGTAGGCTCTGCTCTCTGTCCATTTCAGAATGTGGTGCTCGCTCCCCTGAGGTGGCAGCAGTGCAAGAAGAGAGGACAGATACTGCACATGTCAAATGAAATGGAAGTTTGTGGCTCCCCCCCCCCCCCTTTCTGTGCCCAGGTGTATCTGCGCCTCTCTTGATATCGAGCAATAAATAAGCCCAGACTTTTTAGAAGCAACATCTTAATTTGATACTTGTGCCATTTGCTTCAGAAACACAAGTAAAGACTTTAAACCTTGTCAGATTATTTCCTGTAATGGTTAGGACAGCACAGAATAACTAAGCAGGCTTTTTTGCTTGTGGTATTAAAGAATACTGATGCTTTGGCAATCCATGCTGTTTGAATAAAGCCACTGCAGCTGGCCACACTGAGGCTTTGCTCGAATAGCAAAATGCGCTTTCACCTGAACAGAGACTACTAGCCCACCAGATGCTCAAGTAACTTTTGGAATGCCCCTTTTCTAGGATTTGCACACAACTGATTTGCTCAAGTAACTTTTGGAATCCTTTTCTAGGATTTGCACACAACTGATAGGATTTTGCAGCAGTCTCTGCTATTTGAACTGTTGCTTTTTTGATTTTATAAAAGATCTGGGAGAGTTCACACTTCTATTTCAAGATGGTTCCAAAGAGGGAGCAGAAAGCATAGCTGGAAACTGTCCAGCCTTTGCATTAGGTCATTGCTACTCCACCTGATGGAGCTGTGGTGTTAGCACACTGACAGCAGATGTCTGACTGCCTTCAGGGAGCCGAGCCCCTTGATGGGGAGCCTGGTGTGCCCAGCAAGCCTCGCTTTGTCAGTTAGCTGCATGAAGTTGACAGGCAGCTGGTGGGAGACCTGTGTGCAGTTAAGACTGGGTGGAATTTATCCCACTTGACTTTAGATGTTTACCATTTGAGTTAGCAACCTCTTGGCTTCCTCTGCATTCAAAAAGAAAAAATAAGCCCTTTTAGGGTGAGATTCCTTTGACCTGCTCTGGATGGTTCCTGTAGGATGGGATGACTTGGCCTCTTAAAAAGGCCATTCGTTAGTCTAAGCTAGCTCTCTAGACTAGATCAGGTGGTTTCTGATCTTTATATCCTAAAGATCAAGTCAATAACTAGTTTTTCAAAGCATAAGATTCTTCACTTTACAAGAGGAAGACAACTAATGTTCTTCAGTGGGAAGATCAATGAGTTATTATTTATAGAAATGTGCTATGTTGTGAGCATACAACTGCTGCATTTTTACTGTCTGTACTGTGTTCAGACTTGCAATTGGATGTTTAGATTGCTTTGCAGGTCAAATGGATTCCTCCTTTAGCGGAATAGCTTAGTTAATTAGGTTAAACTTAATTCATCTGTGACCTGGGCTTGCCAGCAGGAGGAGCAGTGGCTAGCAGAGATGAAGAGGCAGGAGCAAGAAGAGAAGACACTGCCAGAGGAACAAAAGGCTAAAGATGTAGCCCAAACACAGCACCTAGAAAAGAAAGAGGTAATTCTGCTCTCTCTGGTGGAATTTCTTTAAGGGATCACATCAGAGAACTTTGATTCCAGCACTGATGTGCTGTTACCATGGGCAGTTTTACCGTATGTTTTTTCATGCCCCTTCAATGAGGAAGAGATTCTGTAAACTTTTACCCTGGTTATCTGAGGCTGACTCCAGGTGACCTTGAGTAAATGACTCGGAAGGGAAAAGGAGGGAAGGGAAACAACAAGTGTTTTTCAGGGTTTTCTGTTTGTCAGTACAAGGGGTGTCTGTTATCCTTTGCTTCTCTAAATTTCTTCTGTTTGAACGCTGACCCCCACAAACGTCAGAGATGTTTAAATAGCGATGTCTTAAGTTCAGAGATAGAAGCAGCCACAGGATGGCAGTAGAGTCTGTGGGCCAATATTGCGTTGGTGCAGTGATATGGCTTGAGGTGGGTGGTCTTGGAAGTGAACGTTCTTATTTGGAGCATTTAAGACAAATACATGGCTCTTTATTCTACCTTCTTGCAAAGCGATGTATTGTAATCTTTAAATGCAAAAATAGTGAAATATGATTTTCATAGCCTGTTTTCATGACTGTTTATAGGGAGCGAAACCGTTCCCAGTTTTCTAGAGACACTTATCCCTCTTCTTAAGGCCCGACTTACGTTTGGTGGCTGGTGAAATGTGTAGTTCTAACTTTTCATCTTTTCTGCATTTTTCTTTGACTCTTTCTGCATTTCACTCAGTCATGTTGCTCCTATCAAAATTACAATAAGTTTATCCTGAGCTGATACATGCTATAGTGCATGTTCTGTAAACAAGACCACGAGTTTTAGTTGCAGAATAGTTGAAGAAGGACATTGCCGAGTTACAGCTTTGAGGATGTAACAATTTCATTTAAGCCTTGCTTGTATCAAGGGGAACTGCTATGTCTGTATTAGATGGAAGTACTGCTGGCTTGTCCATGTCGTACATAGCTGCATAAGCAGTCTAATTAAACAGGAGAAGGACACATCAGAACTTTAGAACATTGGGTTTTGCAATTAGTGGATAAAGAAAGAGGTGGAATACTGAGGTATTTTAGTTTAAGTGTCCCGTTACAACTCTGGAGTGTAGTGCTATGCTATTGTGTCTAACAACTGTTGAAACATATTCATCTTTTAGAATTCACCTGTGTGCAATTCATACCAGATGACTCCCCAGGCCCTGAAAGGTCCTAAGCCTCCCAAGATAAATCCAAACAACTATGGAATGGACCTGAATAGTGATGACTCTACAGACGACGAAAGTCAGCCTCGAAAGCCCATTCCTGCCTGGGCTAGTGGTATGTGTCAGCAGGTTGAAGTTTGTCTTGAGTTTCCAGCAGTCCCTGTTGTAGCTCAGCTCCAACTGATAATAAGACTTGGTGTAAGATTTTTGCCTAGTTCCTCCTACTTGCGCACTGCGCAATTAGAGGCACTAACCTGTGGCAGTGTGGGTGGAGCGTTGAGCCAAGGAGTCCTCTGTGACTCGCGACCTTCATGGGACGTTTCTGGGAGGGACAGTACTCTTAAATTGTCAACTGTGCTGCTAGTGTCCTTGTGCCAGTAGAAGTGGAAGAATTTTCTGAACTAGTGCTCTGGCCTTGAGCTTGCTTGACACTGGCTTCAAAAGCAACACCAGTGTCTCGACGACACAGGCCGAGTTTCAGACCTGCTGTTATCCTGGTTCTGAAATAGTCAGTTCCACTGTTATTTCATGTTCCATCTACTCAGGGGAGCTTAAAAAGTTGTGTGGAAACTAATTGTGTCTGCAGGAGGAAAAGCTGCAAGACCTTGCCTCTTGTAAACTTCAGGTCCCGGACAGAAATTGGTACATGCAATATTCACCCTCCAAGTGATCTCTCTTGAAGCCTGAGGCATTAGCGGTGTGCCTTAAGGCACCAAATATTACAGGAGTTTCTCCTGTCCCACTCCTTATATGAGTAGTAATGAGAGGAGGAGGGACGCAGCACATACAAACAGCATACACAGCTATTTCAGTTAAAAAAAAAATTAATGGTAGCTTCTGTTTCTTCAGGGAATCAGCTTAGCCAAGCTGTAATCCGCCAGTACTACAACCCTCCCAACGTTGATGCGCTCTTTGGGGCGATTGCGAGCCCTAAGCTGGAGGACATCTTTTACAAAAGCAAACCACGCTACTTCAAGCGCACAAGCTCTGCTGTCTGGAATTCCCCACCGTTTGCAGGTGCCAAATCAGTTCTAGGTCTGCCATACAGCCTGAAAAAGTACTGAGGTGGGCAGTGGCTGTCTCCTGTGGAACAGCAGGTATGCATTTCTGTCCCTCTAGGCGAGGAAGGAGGTTACTATTTGGTGTCTGTAAATCCTTAGGTATTAGCGTTGAATAAATGCCAGCTTTTACTGGGCCTTTTACATTTTCTGTTTTGGGGGTTTATTTTCTCACTGCTCGGCAAAACCAAACTTTCGGGAGATCTTGCTGCTGAAAGATGCATCTCCTTTTAACCTTAGCCTGAAGTTAGGAAATGTTTAGACCTTTAGGTTATCCGAACTCATCACCTTGAGCAACGTGATCCTCCCGTCTTCAGCCAAGCAGGCCTGGTAGCTGTTGCTGGCTGTAGAGGAAGGTTGTACGCCAGTACTGTTCCTGCCCGCCTCGAGGCTCAAACCAGAGTACTTGTACAGCTAAGGACCACTGCACGCATCTTGGGTAGAATCCAGATATGTGCTACTGAACTGCTCCAAGAACAAGATACTAGCAAGTATGGTGTTCATCTGCAAATTGCAAAGATAATTTGATTGATTTTTCACGAATAGACTTTATGCCAACTTCAAGTGTGATTGTATGGATAAGCTGTATCAATAATGATGTTTGTCACAGCTCTGGGAAATTACTGTGAGAATTTATCTCCTATTGAACCTCTCTTTAACTGTTGGAGGAAGACCCTCTGTGTAACTGTCTCCAGAAAAATCTAGACTAGCGCAAGCAGGCTTTGTTCTAGGCTTCTTTGAAAGAAATTATACAAAAGTTCTGATACTCTTTTTTTCCAATTTCATGTTTTTGGCACAAATTGGGCTGAAGTGATGAGTTTAGCTTTAACCCCTGGCTTGCTCTTTCCTCCCCTGTGCCTATTTCATTTACTCAGCATCAAAGGTGGCTTTATTTTTAGGCCTCTATTTTGCACTTCACATATTCCATAAGACAGTGTCAGATGGAGTATTATCAAAACCCATTTCCTCTTAACAGCAAAATCTCAGCTCAGAATTTCAGCTCCAAAATCACTTGCTATTTTGGTCGCTCTTTCTACACCTAATTCACAAATGGCACTGAGACTTGTGCATTCTCTGCAATGAGCTCCTTTATAAAAAGAAACTAGAGGTTTCACTAGAGCACTACTTGCTGGAAGATTTTTAAAGGAAACAGTTGCATTATTTCTCTAGGTTGTTGTGGAAATGTCTCGCACTGGGGTGGCCTATCTAGTTCTTACCTTATCTTCATCTTTTTCTTGAGGCTTGATTTGTTTTACAGTTGGACAAATAAGTTCATGGTTGCAATTTTAGCAGGCAAAAGACAAATGACTGCCTTTTTATGTACATATAACTACAGTCATTAAAAAAAGCTGTACTGGAGACTACAATACGTGAGGAAACTGCACCTTCCCTTGTGTATGTAGTTAATGGACCGTTTTCAAGAAAATGTTTTTAAAATGGTGTGGGTTTCTATATGTCAAAATACATCAACCGCTAAATGCCCTGCTATTGATCAGTGTATATCTGTGAGGTGACTGTATTTCATAGATGCTCTATATATTGAATTTTGTACTACTATCTTAAAATGAACATAGAACCTTTTTGTAAGAAAGCTTACTGAAATGGCAGGAACGCCTTGAGCGTTGAATGCCTTTTGAATGTTTGACAGTAGTCTGATAAAAGTCAGTTAAACTATCTCCTCTGGACTTCTCTTCCGGACTCTTCATAGTTTCTTACTGAGGACACCTGCAGTATTTTGGAACCTGCCCTTTGGGTTGCTTGGGCACAGTTTTTTTAAATTAGGAGTGTTTTACCTAGGGAGAACTTCAGAATTTCTTATCTAATAGAAAAGGTGCATGCTGTGGTAAACCTGTAGAATTTGCGGACTAGTTTACTATTCTTTTCCTTCTGGAAACTGGAAAAGAGACAGTGTGGCGTGCTGATTTATTCCCAGAAATCTTTGCTAAGAAGTAGATGACTTCAGTTTGAACTAACATATCCCTTGTAACTCGCCTCTCTTGCTGTCTCAGTTGGAAAATAATCAGAATTGCTGCCACCAGATGGAGCAGAAACTTCACTCCCATAGAGTATGGGGCCAGAATGTTGATATTTTAAGGAAACAAAACCACAAAACCTAAGAAAAATCCTAGGCAATTCCAACTAATACTTTTTTTTTTTTAAGAAAGCTATTTTGGCTCTTGATTTCGAATATTTTTTTTAGTTTTGATTCCTAGTTGCCCCATCAGCCTTTTTGGAGCTCTAAGTGCACGTGCTTCCTAGTGGGTGTGCAGATCGGTAAGACTCTATTTCTACAGGACATGTGTCAGCCATGACAGCATTGCACAAATTTGAAATCCAATCGTAAGAGAAGGCAATTTTCTTCCTATATCTACTTAGGCTATTAACATTATGTACCTCCACTTTGTCCCTTCTTATTCTTCTCTACCTTATGTCACGCCATTCGTATTTTCTTGCACTGAACTTGCTCCTCTGCTTTAATGCCCTGAGCCAGGCGTGTCCCAGCATTTTTTTTTGCACTGCGCTCACCCTCCTTGGAGGCAATGTTCTGAGCATCTTGCCTGCGGACAGCTTCAGCAAATATTACAAAAACGCGTTTTAGAAGCTAGTCCTGAGTGAAGACAATTTTAACCATAAGACGACAGCTATTCCTCTCCTGTCCGAGACAGGACCCTGGTTAGACGCAGAGCTTTTTTTCCCCCCTCTTTAAATTGGCTTCCATGTTCTGTTGCCTGTTATTCTGTTATCCAACTGTTCTAGAAATCGGAAGTGACAGAACGGCAAGGTCCACCTAGCCTGTCACTGCAGCTAGTGACCGGCTGATACCTAGAAGAGTGTAAGAACAGGACAAGTATAAAGCAGCGTTTCCCAAATGCATTCACTTGGCCACAAGTAATTTGCAATACTTTATTAAAAAAATTAAAAAAATTGCAGGGTGAAGGATCTGGGTACCCACAGAATGGTCACAGAATGGCTTGTCCCAGGGTGTCTCTTGGGTAGGGCTCAGCTCTGTGGGTCTATGCAAATCCAGGGCCTCCAAGAACTGTACTTCTGTAGCTGCTAGTAAATTAGTTTGGCTATAATAACCTGACTGGCCTCCTAGTCCATCTGACCTTAGGATATTTGTTAAAAGACCTGGGAAACAATGACCCTAATTGAGCAGCCTCCTCTGAACAGCTGTTGACAGAAAGCACTCCCTAAATAGCCTAGGGGCTTAGAAGAGGCAGGTAGGCCATATTTGCATAGAGGATTATACAGAAGGTATAAATACAGGGAAGGTAAATAGTACTTCCCCTCACAGGACTGAGGGACAGGGGTTTAGGCAATCTGTCCTCGGTTTAATGTCCTAGGGTCTAAGGAACGTAAGTGCCCTTGAGATACTGGAATCTTTCCCAGGACCCATCAGGTTATTCCTGAGTTATTGACAAGGCCTCAAAACAAAGTCCAAAAAAAAAAATGTTGGTGTTGTCATTAGCAAAGTGTTAGATACCTTCCTGAACAAGGAGTCCTGACAACTCGCAAAGCCAAACAAAAAATTTAGAGGGCAAATTCCTGGCTGCCAAGTGAAAAGCTGTTTCCAGTCATCAAGGACTAATTGAGCTTGGTAACAATGGTAAACTCTATAACTGTGATTTTTGCCATTACTACTTTGCAATGATGAAAGACTCAAAATTCTCATAGGAGTAAAATGGTTTAGGGATGACCCTTTTTTATACCACTAGCTTCAGCAAAACTACCTGTTTTGCTCCGTCAGAGTCAGCAGATGCTTTAGGGTCATTTTTTATAGTAAGTAGAAGGGGACTTACTCCTGCAAACTTCAACTGCTATGCTTTTTAAAAAAAAAAAAAAAAAAAGAGCGACTAGTCCCTCTGAGCTGAGATGTCGCAGTTCAGCTTTGCTAAGAACAAGGAAAAAGAAAATGGAAAAGCCCTTCTCTCCCCTTATCCAGTCTTCTCAGTAGTACATGGACTAGGACCCTGACCCAGGGCCTCTCAACATGTTCCCAGGATCTCTGACACTTCAAAGCATTTCCTTCAGGTTTGTTTTTTGGTGGGATTCCAAGCCAGGTGGCATGCCTGGTCCAATTTGGGTTTAGAGGTGCTGAAACTCTAGCAAGACAATTAATTTCAAAGGACTAGTGCTATTCAAAAATCATTTCAAGTGGGCATGAGATTTTTGGCACCCCAGACAAAGCCTTAGTGAGATTCAGTTCCCTTTGCCCCTGCCCGTATACAGTTACAGCTTGCTTTGGCCTTCTCTTTTCTATATTAAGTGTTTAAGTGTCCTTTATCCATTGAATTAAAATAAGGCTAGTGTATGTAGCCTTTGTGCAACTGGAGTTCCCCGTGACTGTTCTTTGTGGCTGGCGCCTTTCTCAGTTCTCCTTCCTTGGAGGCTGTGGCGGTGTCTGGGTCTCTCAGCCCTGTCCAAGGTAGCCTCTTAACTGTGCAGCACAAAACCATCAGCTGGCAACTGGACAGGCGTGAAGAGGCTGTGATTGTGATGGAAGTGGGCCAAGGTCAGGAGCATTTGGAGAAAATGGAGCCCTATTTAACCTTCCTTGGTTTTGTTTGAATTGGTTCTAGTGAGTGAAGATTGAGATGATAGGTATGTTTACTGTAGAACAGAAAAAGGGATGCGAGTCTGCTGGTGGAATGGAAAGAGCTCAAAGGGCTGCTGGAAGGTGTCTGGGGTGAAAGCTGGGCCAAAGCATGCAGGCCTCGGGTAGAGGGCGTTGCAGGGGGCCTGGTTCAGGGGCTGCGTTCCCTCAGTAGGGTGGGCAGAGGAGCCTGGGGAGAAAGCAACTGTTGCAATGGCAGCGGGAAGAAGTACTGCACCCCCTGGTGCAATCGGCCTCTCTGATTTCCACTTGTAACTTTCCATTTCCAAATGCCATGAGGTTTCTCCATCTCACCTGCTGCTACCTTTGGGTCCAGCTGGCCAACTGTCCTCCAAAGCAACTGTTTGCATTGCACAAAACATTGACTCCCAGAACAACAAACAAATGAACAATCCCTGTGTGGCAGCCCAAGCCAAATCCTGCTGCTACTTGCCCTGAGAACGCCGTGTTTCTTGCACAGCTTTCTGCGCACCTTTTATCCGAAGATGCTTGCTAGTAAGATGGTTGTAGGTTTTTGCTTGTGTCCTGTAAGGATGTTTTTCCTAATGCCTGCAATGTCTGGCTTGCCTCAGTCCCTTTTGGTTCTCACTCTCTGATTGTAACAAGGATCATGTATTTGCCTGTGTATCTTTAGCAGGAGGCTGTTGCCTATAGTCATTCCTGATGCCTTTTTGCCACTCTGTTCTAGGCGAGGTAGGTTTGCCCCCAGTCCTTTATGCTGCTTGAATAATTCCTGACAGCAACCTTCTGTACTTTTTGAACAGCTCATGCTACCTAATAATGAACTCGGAGCGGGGACATGGACTATTGTTGCACGTTACGGCTTAACAGAAAGGAAAAGAAAGCACCAAGTCTGAGTTCTCTGTGGAAGTTCTCCGTTTGTGCTCCATCCCTGCCACACGCAAACTGGTCAGGAGGGTTGGAGGGAACAGCTTTGTTTCCAATCAACTCTATAGCAAGCCTCACTAGTTATAGAAAGTGCAGAATGTGTCTAGACGGCCAAGTTAGGTATGTGCTCAGTGCAAGGATCTTGACAAGACCTTGGCTCAGCTGTGGCTTGAGCCTTGGCTCCCACAAAGAGATGTGGTTTCAGAGCTACCTTCTAGATGCGGCTTCAACCCCCACCTGACATGGTTCTCTGTAGCTACTGTGCTGCCTTCTTGTGCTCAGAGGCATCGGGTAAGACTAGCATTTCCCAGCTTGTGAACTGCAGGGAGTTAGTAGTCTCAGGATGCCAGGAAGCAGTCTGCAAAATGGTTGCAGAAGAGTAGAAATTACATGTGTGTGGAAACGAAATGAGAAGAAATGAAAGCTCATTTGGTGCTAAGAGAACCACGAAAGCAACGCTGCCAGGAACACTCCATAAGGTTTGGAGTTTTGGGGGAGTGGGAGGGGTGTGTTTATATATGTATGTGTATGTATGTTTGTATGTTTTTCCCTTCCTGAGTAGGTTAGATTGTCCTGGGACTATAAAATGTGTGGAAACTGCACAAATGCCTGCTCTGCTCAGTCTGGACTCTCTGCCATGGCAGTAAAACCCTGCAGGTGAGGTCTGGCTCAGTTTGGAGTTTTCCCCCACTCCAGGCCTCTTCAGTGCTGCAGAGGAAACAACAGCTTTATTTCCAGGGAGCATCCCACGGGCTATATAGAAGTAAGGAAGATTTCTAGAAATGAAAATGAATGATGTAGAGGTGGAGTGTTTATAAATCTTGCTGATACCGAAGGTCTCTCTTACTGCATTTATTCCAACTCATACTGCTCGCTCAGCCCAGAGATGGGAGAGCTCTGCACAAATCAGGGGTTGGCCCAACCATTTGAAGCAAACTCTCCCACCAGACTCTGTCCTGGCCTAATCTGACGAACCCTAACGTCACACGCTAAAGATGACGAAAACCCACAAAGGGGAATTGCAGTGGTTGTGGTGTAAAAGCAAACTTGGTTCTGTACTAACCTGTTGTAAGACAAGCTGGTGGTTAAATCTTTCAACAGCTGGATCATGAATGAGAATTAAACAGTTGAGTTGAGATTTTCATCTGCCTCCTTTCTAGATTGTCCAGCCTGCATCTGCCAGGAGATGGGACTCAACAAAATACCTTTCAGCCCCTGCTGTTGCATGCTCCAGAATGAGTGGGCCTTGAGATTTCAACAGCAATTTGTTAAAGCTTATCTGTGCCCTAATATTAGGAACACATGAAAATAGCTGTCTCGGTCACATCGAGCCAT